TCCACACGGATCCGGCGTTTTGGGAGAGTGAAACCGATATTTTTAAAAACCGGGTCCCAGAGTGGATCAAATCTGAAAACGCCGCCCTTGCGTTTTCGTGTGGACAGCGAATCCGTATATTTCCTGAAACGATGACGTTTTCCACGTCTCGCCGCTACGTCACGTAACGGCAACAAAAACGTGAACAAACACTGAACGATTCTCTTTTTATTGACTAACATTAACACAGATTAATAAATGTATTGTTCCATGTTCATTTGTATACCGCGCACAAAGTTTATGCGCATAATCCAAGTCTTCTCCATTTTTAGTGTATCTCTGTGGCAGAATTACAGCGCCGCATACTGGTCCGGCATGTAGGGCTGCACGATTAATCGAATGCGATTGTCATGCGCATTTTGTTAAAAAAGCCGGTTCTGTACGGTTGATCGTGCTTTCAGATGGAGCAGCATTTACTACACATAGCCATAGTTCACTGACAAGTTACGCAAAAAAATTAAATAAAATCGTTTTTACGATTTTATTGCGCGATTCTGAAATCTAAGAAATCGTTGGCGATAATGACAGCTGACAGCAGTGAACTACGGCTCTGTGTAGTAAACGCGGCTCCATCTGAAAGCATGTGAAAATACCACATTTAATAACACGTTTTTACTCTAAGCTCACTTCACAACGTCAGTCGAGTGTCTGAAATAAATCCTTCTGTGAGATGACGTGGCTTCTTACACAGAATAAGGCACGCAACATATTTCGTAGTATTTAAGCCGTGATAAAGGCATTGCATTATAAATATACTTTGTTTTAATGAAAATGATAATAATAAGAACTCGGATAAACCATATATTGCCGTAGTCGTGTGTTTATTAGTCACGTTGAATCAACGAAAGCAGTTGAATCTTCTGTTTATTCAGCTGCAGCGATAGGCATTTTCTGGGTTTCTTCTGCGAGGCGTATTTGGAGTTTCTCTGGCCTTCGGATGCAGATTTACTGCTGATCACAGAACCGCGCGTCACTGAAAGATACGCATGCAATCGCAGCGTCTGTCGAATCGCGATCTCGATTCCATTTCGATTTATCGTGCTGGCATGTATACTACATCGTTTTGTGTCGGTTTCGTGTAGACGCAGATATTTCTTGAGAAGAGGGTGGGAAGAAAAAGATCGGTGGGCGTATTCGTGTGGACGTAGCCTTAAGATGCGTAATGTCACAATAACTAAACTTTTAAGTAGGATCTTCTCAGCAGCGTTAGTATTCGTCTGGTCGTGTGGTCTCAACATTTCGGTCCACACGAGGCTCCATGTCAAACAAAACCGCTTTTTTTATTAAAAACCAATCTTCAATAATCGTTCGTTTCTGTAGAGGGAAACATTTCGTTAAGGACCAACTGGGACACAAATGAAAACCAACCTGTTTGTTCCTCATCATCTTCTTGATTCACACCGACTGCATCTTCAACCTTAACGTCTTCACTCTCCTCTTTAATAGACGCCATCTTTACTTTCGGTGTTTGGACACTCTGTCGTGATTAAGATGACAATAATGAACAGAAATAAAATGTGGTGCGTCTCAATCGGCTCTCTATGTTCAGTAGTCTGCACACGTATATGGTTTACATCAGGCATTTATAAAATGCATTTGCCACTTTAAATA